TATAAGTAGTTTTAGTTGTAAATAGTTTTATCATTCTTAGCTATAAATCAATAGTTTGTACTAATATTGTAATATTTAACTCAATTCAGCCTTTAGCTGCGCTGTTTCATAGTAATAAACTATCTATCTATCTATCTATCTATCTATCTATCTATCTATCTATCTATCTATCTATCTATCTATCTATCTATCTATCTATCTATCTATCTATCCATCCATCCATCCATCCATCCATCCATCCATCCGTCCATCCGTCCGTCCGTCCATCCATCCATCCATCCATCTATCAATCTATCTATCTATCTATCTATCGATCTGTATAAGTTTTTCTGTTGCTTTTCTCAATTGTTGCCGCCATTTTCGAGGCCACAAAAAATGGCTGCCTCTGGCCCACAATGCATGTAACAGAAACGTAAACAAACAAACGCATTGCATTGTGATTGACCAGGACCCTTTAAACTTAAGTCACAGGGTTCCAAGTGAGGACATAAAAAATGGCGACCCTCTTGCAGTCGCGCAAGTAGTGGAATGAAAAAATATTGTTTTGTAAAAACTTGGTATATCGCAAGTCTTTTTAATTTTAGATATAAGACAAATATTTAATTTTACATATGAGACAAATGATGGCTTTATCTTGAAGTTACAGAGATCCAAAGTGAAATACGTAGGTACTTTTTGCGTCCGCCATTTCGATGTAGACGCAATGACAAAACTAAAGTTATGAATATATATATATATATATATATACTAATTACAATTAAAATTTAAATCTTTGTCAATCATTGGCAATCATTGTCTGCTTACCATCACATAAAAAAGTCCTATATTTTTGGCATACGAGTAACAACAAAATAGGCGAAAAGGATACAAGACTCATATGTTTTTTGTTCTAATTTCGGCCGGTTGCTGTGGCAACTGATAATTCTGACGTGATATATCACTAAAAGCATGCGTAAAAAATAGCGTTTTCAGTCCCTCTCTTCTGGATTGGCTATGCATGCCTATGGTAAAACATACTTGCGGACAATTTAGAACTTATTTAAACTCCAAACGTTCTCTTCAAGCTTTCTCTGTCTAATTTAGCAAAAAACGTCCATACTGCTGGCATAAACCTTGGCGCACTATTATTTTATAAACATTATCTTAAATTATATGGTAGTTTTTCTTTCGATATTAAATGTCTAAATGGTCTTGTGCCTAATTAATTAATTTAATTCCATTTCTAAAAAGTTCTTCCATCAGAAAGAAACAAGAGGAAATAACTTTAAAATGAGGCTACGAAAAATAAAAACAGAAACTGGTTGCAAGACTGTTTTTGTTCCAAGCAGCTCTGGTTTTTATACGAACTGCCAAAAGATATGAGGAATGTAGAAACTTTTTTATGAAAACTGTTCAGTGGATTAAGCTGACGCCAAAATCATAGCAGTTTTTAGTTAATATATAAGTATAGGATTGACTATTTAGTTTAAACAGGTCCTTGAGTCCTCAGTTCTTGAGAGCAGCTATTTTTTTGCTGACCAAGTTTAACCTGTATCAATATGGTATTATAGTATTTTTGCACAAGTGAACATAACAAATCCTACAAGTTGATTAGTCAAATTTGACGTATTAAGCTGCTATATTCACCTGCAGGTGAATATAACAAAACCGAAATTTTCAAAATGGCAGCTAGCCGTTTTGTGGAAGTTATACTGATAAACAAATAAGGGAAATTAAAATAAATTCAGCCCCAAAAAACACGAAAATACTAAAACAATTATTCGCCTCAGGCTGGGTGATTATCGGGGAATATTCACCTCGACTTCGTCTCGGCCATAGATATCTTAAATACACTAGATATACTGAGAAAAATTGAAGCTGTGATTGCAGACTCAGGATATTCCCATGGAATAAGAAGATTCGTATGTTTTCTATTTCTTAAACACGAAACTTAAACATTAAGGTAAACCTATTCCAAATACATTTTTAAACTATTCAAATGATGAAAGTTTTTGGTGTATTCTAAGCGCTTATTAGCGAGTGAGAAACACCAACTATTCAAATGGGGGTAACCGGTGGAATATTCTTGGCTTCAATTTTACTAAAAGAGATGGGCTATCTAGTCTATATAATATATCTATGGTCTCGGCGAATATTGCAGGATAATCACCTCGGCTTAATTCGGCGAATAATTGTTAATTATTACTATTATCATGCATGTTTTATTGTGCTGTACGGTGTTGATCACGCTGTCAAGGCATATTTAAATATTTACAAGTGGGGGCCATAACTTGAAAAAGGGCCATTGAGCGAGCGCCGAAGACACAAGTTTTGTGGGGGGGTCAAGGGGCATGCTCCACAGGAAAAGTTTGAAATCTGGAGACTCCAAAATTGCTATTTAGTGCGTTTTGGGTGGGGGCATTTTAAATAATTCTGAATACAACAAAATGTTAATGTTTAAAATATGCCTTGCACGCTGTATTGTGTTAAAACTTGTCAAGTGGAAAATGTATTCTTGATGAAAAAGTACATCTACTATACTAGTTTTCGGCCAACCGTTCTCATCTGAGCTGACCTGACTTTAATTAATCACATACACTTTACCTTCTCCATATAAACCCTCTGCCAAACCTTCATTCGAGCCGTAACTGAACACCCTTCCACCAAAACGGCCAGTTTGCTCCAGAATTTTTACTGAAAGCCCAGCCTTCTTTAACTCATACGCTGCAGAGAGACCTGCCATACCTGCCCCAACAACAATGACGTCATAATCATACGTGACATCTTCTGGTACTTTACGAGAGGCACTTTCTGGAGGAGGAGGGCGAGGTTCATCATGACCATATTCCTCAAAAGCCGCCTCTAACCCATCTGACTGAATTAGAAGCAGAAAATCCTTTAGATAGTCGCTCTGCTGAATAACTTCACTTCCTTCTAGAATTCTTGTCTTCAGTGGCTTCGCCTTTGCCCAAAAGCGCTTATGGTCTAACAGGTACGACGTTGCCATCTTGTTGGTGCTAAATGAATGTATATAAGAAGAGCATAAAAGCTATTGCGTTTAATTTGTAGAAATAATTTTCGAGTAGTAATTTCATGTATTTACGCGCGCCCGTCTAACGAAACTAGCCATAACGGCCCTTCGGATGAAAATAGGACTTTCCGTTTCCTTAATTTTCTTGTTGACACCTCTGACTGCCAGGCCTTCAGGGTCAATATCCGTAAGCACGTTATACACTAAATGCCGTGGGACTTTGATGTCGTGCTGAGTTTCCAGCTTTTTATTTAAGGCACGATGTTGTTTCGACGTCGAAATTTCGTCGAAATGAAGTCGAAACGTCGATCGACTAAATATCGACGTCGTTTCGACGTCACCTTCACGACGAATTATAGACGTCGTATATTATTAGATTTAACTAGAAATACATGCATGCACCAACTCCTCGCCTATATTTTCCAAACATTGACTTACATGAAGTACTGTATTAGTAATTGATCAACACTGAACGCAGGCTCGCGTTTACGTCAGTGTTGTCATGGCAACACGACAAACTTAAATTTTATATTTTTTTGAACAAGTCGCCAAAAATAGTTGAAAGATTATTGCTTTTAATTATATAACAATCAATTTACGAATTATGTACTGTAGGTATGTTATTTTGCATTTTGTGAGCTTTGATTTAATGTAAAATTTAAACTGAATCGCTTCGTAAAATGTTCATTATAATAACTAAACTGCTTTTGTCGTCTTTGCAGATGAACTGTTTTTAATACTTTTAAAATAGACTTAATAAGTTCAAGTTGTGGAGTAATTTCAGTTAGATCTTCAAATTAATTTGTTCTCCTTTACATTTTACCTTTTTTTCTTGAATTAAAGAGGGTAATTTAAGGTAGGAAACTTACAGTTTGACCGAAATGGAAAGCTGCATGTACTTTTAATACGCAAGAAATTATTAAAAGCAACAAAATTCATAAACATTAAACATTCAAAGCAAACTTGCAATATATTTCACGATTCCCATAGTAAATCAATTTTAGTCATTTCTTCAAACAAAAAATTGCTTCAAAGCTCATTGTGTGAAACGTGATTTTCCAAATATAAGCTTTTGAAAGTCGAAATCTTGCTTATTCCTTTCCTAGCAAACATGCAGCCATATTTTTGAGATCAGTGAGGAGGTCCACCCATGAACCATAGTCACGCGCCCACGATCATTGATGAACTTTAAACTTCGCTAATGCTTTCTTTTCTCCGGGTGTAAATAGCCGGGGGGGGGGATTGGTACCCTCGCACGGCGCTTCTCGCCGTCGGCTCGGGAGCAGTTGCGAGAGATGTTACCCAAAACTATTGAAATAACTTATTGTTAAAATTTGTCCTAGCACTAAGCTGAACACAAACATGCGTAAATTTTTTTTAAAATTAAGATTGCCCAAAACATTACATGAAATAGTATAGTGCTATTTAATCCCCGAGCCGACGGCGCGAAGCGCCGTGCGAGGGTACTAATTCCCCCCGGCTATTTACACCCGGGGAAACGAAAGCATTAGCGGAGTCTAAAGTTCATCAAATATCGCTGGCGTGGGTGACCAACGATGGGTGGTCATCCTCACTGATCTCAAAAATATGGCGGACGGTCATGAATAGCGGACACTGATTGGTCCAATTTAAATTTTGCATTATAACGACTGCCACGAATGTATCACGACAGCGAAATAGCAAACATTTCTTGATTTGATGATTGATAAATTTCTTGCAAATATATTTCATTTTTACTCTCATTTTTGCAAGATTTTGTAAATTTCAAAAGCTCTCTCAAAATGAAACTGCGAAAGAATCGTCTAAAAGAAGGGAGCCGACGTTAACGAAGGTAAGTTTGTTTTAAATATTGATTTTCAGTATAATGGCTTTAAAACCCGACGGCCTTTGCGTATATGAAACAACTAAACAAACAGCATATAATTTTAGTGTATCTTTAATATTGATTCCCTTTTTTATGATATTGAATTTCTAAATAAAAAAGAAAGCACTGAGTTATTTGCAAGCCAGAATTTGAAATCATTTTATTGCTAACTCAAAGTTTATCGATAAAGCCATTTTAAAAGGCAGTTTAGTTTTATAATGAACACTAGTGACTTTAAAACGTTTTGCGAAGCGTTTGTGGTTGAATTTTACCTTAAATTGAGGCTTATATTACGTATGAAAACATACCTAACATATATTTATGTTGGGAAATTAATAATTTTGTAATTAAAAGTGATATTTTTAGGCGATTTTTCATTTGTAAGAATATTCTTAAAAAATTATCGTGTTACCATGACAACTACTTTAGAACTTCATGTTCGGAAAATACAATGGTTTTGTCAGCAAGGCGAGGGTTTCTGCATGCATGTATTTTCTAGTATTTTAATATTTGCAAACGTAGGCTGGGAGTCTACTAGAAACCATGGAAATGGCTTTTATTTTAGGTCCCTATAGATTATGAATTAAAATAATTAATAATTAATGTAGGCTAATGTCAGTTTTAATATTTTTTTATAAGAAAATGCAAAGTCAAAGGATATATTAATAATACGTAAAAATAGTTAGAATGTATATTTACAATACAATTTTGTTATTGTATATTATTACAGGATGCACATGATTGATTGACAGTGTGCATATATTAAATATTGAGTTATTAAGAAATTAAAATATCTTTGTCGCCGAGTCGACGGCGGGAAGCGCCGTGCGAGGGTACTAATTCCCCCCGGCTATTTACACCTGGGGAAACGAAAGCATTAGCGAAGTCTAAAGTTCATCAAATATCGCGGGCGTGGGTGACCAACGATGGGTGGTCATCCTCACTGATCTCAAAAATATGGCGGACTGTCATGAATAGCGGACACTGATTGGTCCAATTTAAAGTTTGCATTATAACGACTGCATGACGACAGCGAAATAGCAAACATTTCTTGATTTGATGAATGATGATTGATGAATTTTTTGCTCGCATTTTTGCAAGATTTTGTAAATTTCAAAAGTTTTCTCATAAAGAAAAGGCGAAAGAATCGGCTAAAAGGACGGAGCCGACGTTAACGAAGGTAAGTTTGTTTTAAATATTGATTTTATAATGGTTTAAAACCCGACGGGCTTTGCGTATATGAAACAACTAAACAAGACAGCATATAATTTCAGTGTATCTTTAATATTGATTCCCTTTTTTATTATATTGAATTTTTAAATAGAAAAGAAAGCAAAGTTATTTGCAAGCGAGAATTTGAAATCATTTTATTGCAAACTCAAAGTTTATCGATAAAGCCATTTAATTAAAGGCTGTTTAGTTTTATAAAGAACACTTTAAAACGTTTTGCGAAGCGTTTGTGGTTGAATTTTACCTTAAATTGAAGCTTATATTACGTATAATAACATACCTAACATATATATGTTGGGAAATTGATAATTTTGTAATTAAAAGTGATATTTTTAGGCGATTTGTAAGAATATTCTTTGAAATTAAAGTGTTACCATGACAACTGCTCTAGATACTTTATGTTCGGAAAATACAATGGTTTTGTCAGCAAGGCGAGGGTTTTTGCATGCATGTATTTTCCAGTAGTAAATTAAAGCGGACGATTTTCAACTCTTGGAAATTTAAAGCACTTCTTAAACAGTTTCTTATGCAGAAAATTTACTGATGTCAAGCTTTTATACATTTGGGAGTTCAGTAAAGTGCTGAGGCATTCAAGGTCCTGCCTCGTACCCAGGCGCTTTGGTTTGTTTACGTCATTAAGCGCACGTTGGACGGCACGGGAGGGAGAAAAACGGAATATTCGGCGGGAAGCGCATGGTAGAATTCGCATTCAAAATAGCGGGTCATTGTTCTGCAAGTGTTCTGTATTATTTATATTATTATTGAAATGACATATTGTTTAAGAATATTTTTAAAATTAAAAATCTCCTAAAAATATCACTTTTAATTTCGAAATTATCAATTCCAAAAAGTATGCCGTATATGTTAGGTATATAGGCTAGAGGATATTACACGGCGGCGCAAAGATATCACTTTTATTTTCAAGTGGTGAAGTCCCAAGTGAAATTTCACACTCAAAAGCAAATTGGAAAAAGTGACGTGATCGATATCTTCACTAGTGAAGATATGGAAAATATCTCATCGTGTATTTTTCAGTATCTCACGTGCACTCTCTACTATGCAATAAGATATTATACGTCATTATATGTAATATAAGCTTCAATTTAATGTGAAGTTGAACCACAATCGCTTGGCAAAACGTTTTAAAATTAATGTTCTTCAAATTAAACTGCATTTTATCGATAAACTTTGGGTCTGATATAAAATAATTTCAAATACTCGCATGAAAATAACTTTGCTTTTGATTTACAGATTTTTGATATAATAAGAAAGGGTAATTAATTTAATAAAAATTCACTGAAATAATATGCTGTCTTTTTTATTATACTCAACGGTAAGTTTTTAAAGCAATTATAAAGCAAACAATACATTAATCTTTAAAACAAACTTATCTTTATTAGGTTTTACGATTTCATGTAGCAATCTATGCCCCGATCTTTTGTTATGAACGGTTTTCTGCATGAATAATGATTTTGAATTTCCTGTCTCGTGTAGCAAACGTCAGCGTCTTTGCTCCCTTCTTTTAGCAAGACTTTCGGGCCTTTTTCCGTCTTCTTGCTGGTTTTAGTTTATTTGGTTACAAAACTTTTCTTTAATATTTTATTTGTTTATTTTTTTTTTAATTTTCTCAAAAAAAACTCGTTTACAAGAGCTAGCAAATTTGAAATAATCATTTAAAAAGCAGATATATTTCCAAAAGTGTCGTCATGCAGTCATCATGAAGCAAAATTTAAATTAGACCAATCAGTGTTTGCCATTTTCATGACAGTCCGCCATACTGTAATTTCGAGATCAGTGATCAGTGGGAGGTCCACCCATGATAACCATGCGCCCGCGATGTTTGATGAATTTTAAACTTCGCTAACGCTTTCCTTTCCCCCGGTGTAAATAGCCCAGCGGAAATAGTACCCTAGCTCGCACCGGGCTTACGCTCGGAA